TTTAATTACATTTCATGTAGAGATACTTTAAAAACGATACTCAGATTTGTATTATTATATAATAAAAATAATTTCAAACAAAGTTAATACATATAACATTGTTTCAGTGAATATCTTGCATTTCTAATAAATATGATTCAATAGTTTTATTTAATTAGAACTTTTATGTCATGTACTCATGTGTATTTTAATTGCGTACCTACCTATATTTATTTTGTTTTAAGAGCATAATATGTGAAATGTGCAATGTGCATGAATATTTCCCATAAGTCCTCGAACCGAACTTATAGTCATTACTCATTAGTAATGAATATAATAATGACTCATTCTTAATATATATTCAATCAATTATTTTTACTCACACTTAGAATTTTAAAAATATTCTACAAACATTTTGTAGTGAACTTTTTTAGTGAACCATTTTCAAACTCAAAGGTTTATTTTTGCTTTAAAATTTTTAATAATAATATATATGATAACTGTAGAATACTGACTTGCACAGAGATGAGCGTGATGAGTACACTTAACACTCGTAGTATCTGTATAACTCTGCCCGTACTGCCGTACTTTTTAAATAGGTACAGAGCATACAAATGAACAAGCAAACGCACTCCAAAAACCCATTAACTATTATATAATATTATATAATATTAGATACTTACTTTTAATAACGTAATTTAATTTTAAATTGCAGCAAAATGTTTAAAATAATTTTTATGTTCATCCCATATCAATGTGTCATTATAGTAATCTTACCCTAAAACGTATTATTATACCTATATTATGGTACCTATTAACTTCTTATCCCAGTATTGGGTAAGAATAGCATTTTTTAATTTTCGGTATATATTTTAAAACAATTTTTTAGAAAACCATTAAACTATAATTTTAATGTTCGTTAATAATCTCCATTAGTTTTTATTTTTAAATATCTTTAAGGGTGATGAATAATAATTGTATGAATAATAATCAATACCTAATAAAATACTCAAATGAAAAATCAACATTTGTTTACTATTAACTGGGTTAAAATATTTATTACGGTAAAAATTCAAAACATATTTTAAGTTCTTTAGTTTTTAACATTAGTAAAATTATTTGTAAACACCTATAGGCTATAAATATGTATAGAAAACGAATGTTTATTGAAAAATTCTTAATCCTTTTTGCAAATACATTAACTATTGTTTCAGACGTAAAATATTTTGATGATATTTTTAGATTAAATATTGAAACATCAACGTTTTAACATCAAAACTAACATTTTGTTACCTTCTTAGTATATCGTATACCTATATTCCCTATACCACGTAGGTATTTATTGTACCAGATATTACCAACATACCAAATATTAAATGTATATATCTCACATAAGCGTAACTAGTATAAATCGTGGTTGGCCACAACAAAAAAATGCCACCTGTAATCGTTGTTATTCATAATAACATGTATAACGGACGTGGAAAAACATTTTTCGATTTTTCTGAGCCGTCATCGATTTTTAGTTTTTAATGTTTTAATACTACTTTTGATTCGTAATCCATGCGCGAGCGCAGAAAATATTTGTTTTCGGGTGGTATATACGCGCATATTATGTTAACAAATATTCAACACAGCCCGATTATTACTGACTCGGTAATACTTAGCCTTGCAGCAATGTTTTGCAGATGACGGTTTGTGAATCGCGTATAATATGCTGGCGCTTTATGTCAAAATGTCGCGGTCGTGCCAGTGTAAACGACAAAGACTATAAAAACGTATACAGCATGTGGCGTTTGGAGTTCCTTTTGAAAATCTATCCCGAAGTACCTACATAAAGTAATACCTACCCATGTCATCAGTATATAATATTATTGTATATGACATAATACCTATGACGTGTATTTTATATATGTTCGGCGGCTGGCGGAAGTGGCTCTTTTCATTTTGCACATCGCACATATTACACACAGGTACAATTTTCAACGAACGTTTACCGATCTGGCTTTATCGTTCCGTCGAAATCTTCGCCAATTTTGGGCATCTACTCTATAAACATGATGATATTTTGTATTCGAGCAACGAACCACAAGCGCCATGTACTACGTCGAAAAACTACATAATATTTTATCCGCGCCTCATATGCCGCATAAAAACGCGCCGTCTTTTGTCGAGTGGCAATTTCACTGCAGTGCGAACGGGTTCGAAAATTGTATTATCATTACGTCGAACGGCGTTCTAGTAGATATATTATACTACCAAGCGGGAGCAAAAAATTAGATTTCGACGTTTTCCGTCGAAGCAAAAAAAACGTAACGCAAAACATGAGCGGGACTCAAGTGTGAAAAAAAAATAAATGGGTGCATAGCTAGTACGGCACAGTTATACTGTTTTTTGTCGGAAAATGTCGTTAAAATTTGTCTCAATAACATCAACTGTATTAGTATCATGAAAGTGTGTAATGTTTTTCCGAATAAATTACTTGCATTATGTCATTTCGTGCATTAGTTCAGACATTGCGGGAGACGTTCACTTTACATAAATAATTTTTTTTCAAAATTTAAACATCGATACCACTCTGTTGTGACGCAATACTGGCAAATTGGTAACGGTGTTCCGACAAACAAGTTTTGGGCAGTGGCTGTTGTATACATTTTGGGTTTCACAATTGCCTATATTTAGATCTTAGTGTTGGTGGGTATCAGAAAACGCAAAAAATATAAAAATATCATAACAAAGGCACCAGCAATAGTAATTTTCGCAACAGACCAAATATGTAGTGTACATTGTATGGAAATACAACAAAAAGTTTTGTTTTAAGTTTTAAAAAAAGCAGGACGAATGATTCAGATTTCATATCATGTTTAGTTAAATACTTAAATCTACCTGATAATATACCTATACGACCTAGCTATATTTAATCCGAATCGTTTGCTAAACGTGCAGTGCGTTAATTTACCATGAACATTACTTTACAGTTTACATAAATTGTGAATTAGTCTCAATATAAAAATATTTTGCGCCAAAATCAACAGATAGGGGCTTGAGGAGGCTAAGCCTTCCAAAGAAAAATATATAAGCCATCCGAAACTCACCTTGTACTCATTATGGGAGTATAGGCTGTACTTGTAATAATATACTTATTATATTGTTCATAAAATATAACATAATTAACATTACAATCAAACCTAATCCGTACGTATACATTTATGTATTAAATTAACTAAAGTCAAGCCAGTTGGTTGGTTCTAATTTTTTTTGGAATGCAAGATAATAATATATTTTATTTGTGTGAAGAAGATTCGAAGTAGACTTGAAATAAATTTACCAAGTTCCACTCGTGGACTCAAAATATCCTCAAATATCGATATCTGCTGGAATTACATATTATATGCCTAACCTTGTTGCGTCGCTGTATGTGTGTCTGATGGTAGGCGTACCTATAACATGATGCAGTTTGTGCGATTTCATCACTATTACGCGTTTCGAATTCGAATCGTTCAGAATTCATTGCGACGTTTACCACCGTCGTTATAATCATATCGTATTAATTGTACCTATAATACCGATATATTATATAGGTATCGTTTTATCCATCGCACTCCAGTCATATTAATATAATTATCATACACACGACAATCGCAAATGGTAGGTACTAGTTTCGATCCGTGTACTACTGTTAAAATAATAGTAATAAAAAAAATAAAATATTTTTAACAACGAAAAAAATAATATACGATTCCGTATATTATTATTATTATTATTATTATTATTGTTGTTATTATGGTATGTAATTATCGTGACTGATTGTTGTCGGACATCGACAGCGGTGGAGGTTTACAGCGTTTTGCACGCGATCGGATGGCGGGAATAAAATACGATGCAGTTTAAATGTAATAATATAATATTATATGGAAAAATGTGTATATTTTTTTGCAAAATAATGTCGCGTTACGTTCTTCGATTATTTTTGGCGCCATCTAGTGGCGGTATGCGGTTCAAGGCGCCGGAATAGTATTTCTGTAATTAACGGCTGGCGACGTGTCACCAGCAGCGCCATCTGTGCGCATTATTTTCAGTTCATGGGGGTTTTAAGGTGACCGTGGCACTATTATAATGTTTGGCGTAGTGCGCCTGCGCGACTATGACATTATCTTATACATACGATTTCCTTCACACGAGCGACACGATTTGCCTATAGCTAACGCCGCGCGTTCGATATATTGCCGTGACGGTCGTTTGTACAGGCGAAGTGCGCTGCAAAGAAAACAATTAAAATATACCCATTTTATATCAATAAATCGGAATGTTATATTTTATCAGCATTGTGTCATTCGTTATTCAGTTCGGGTTTGTGGTTGTATTATGATTAAGGCTTAGAAGTTCTACGACATGATGAAATAGAAAAATATGCACAAAATATGCTAACAGATATATTATTTTGCAATAATATAATTACAAAATTCCCGGAAAAATGTATTAAAGGATTTATTATTAACATGGCTATATTGTTAATATACTACTATGTAAACAAGTTTTTTTATAAAATAAATCAAAATTAAAAAAGTTTGATAGTAGGTCAATTCACTCTTATATCAAAACTGACAGCACTCTATTGGAACTAGCGAACTAAAATGTCTCATGTCCTACGTGTGTAAGACGGAGACAACACATGCGGGCTGACTCATTGGCTGAAATCTGGAAGGGGGTTTAGCCCCTCCCCCAAAAACCGTCAAGCCCCTACTTTTTTAGTTTCGTAATATCGAAACCCCCCCACTCAAATTGATGTTAATAATGTTAGGCCCCCTGAAATTTTAATGGATTTCCGCCTATGATGTGGGTGCGACGTCCTCTTAATAATAGTTTTTGGTTTCCATAGAAAATAATAATATATTATTTTTTATATTTTAATAATATAAAGTGTATTATTTAAATTACAACAAATTTGTAATTACAATTTGAGTACATCTTAATATGTTAGTTAATATCTATTACCAATTAACATTGTTATTTGTTGTATAATGGGTTCATTTTGTTCAAAGGCTAGTAAGTAAGTAATCAAACTTTTGAGCATTAAGTATTTCCACCGTGATTGAAATAGTTATAGGAAGTTTTAGCACATACTAGATAAAATGTATTTTTTAGTATTAGTGTCTCTTACATATTTGTGTGAATGCAACAACTGTAGACTGTAATTCTGTAAATTATATTACAAGCTGTTTAATTAACACAGCATTATTTTTTTTGCAGGCCAATTAAGCAAGTTATGGATAAAACTTCAAGTACACCACAAATACGACAACCGCAAGTGCAATCTAAACTTGATAAAAGCTCCAAATCACCTGCGCCAACCAATAAACAACCTTCGTCTTTATCCAATCAGCCGAGAAGAGGAGGAGGAGTTTTAGGAGAAATTGCTAAGCAAGCAACAGGAGTTGCAATAGTAGCTATCATTTCATTATTAGATACTTATTTTGAATATAGATACATCACATATTATTTTGGTAGAACTAAATTCAATGGAAAGTCATCACAATATGCCGTGTTTAATGCAAACATAATTTTGTTTCCCATGTTATCTAAAATTAAAATTATTTCATTGTATTACTGATGCAAAATCAGTGGATAGTAATAACTAATAAGTAATAAATAATAACTATAACTGTATATGATTAATGAGAATACAATAAATAAATATATTTTTGTTTATTACCTATCATATGTTTAGGGAACTGCAGCAGGTAGAAAATTATCAGATATGATGTTTGATAATAAAAAAAATGAATCACCTACCGAGACAGATAATTCAAATAATGATGTAGATTATCAAATAAAAAATGAAGAATTAACTGAGGATGGCAGTGATGAACAAGGAGATCAAGGAGATGAAGAAAATGATGATGATTCAGATTAATACTAATAATAAACATTAAATAATTTTAAATAATAGGTTGTTGAATGAATGTAGTGTTTCATAAAATTAAACAAAAATAACACAACGACAAGGCCATAACATTTTTTATAAACACTGAAATACAAATATGTAAAGAATAAGTTTAAAAAAAATATATATATGTATATAATATTTATATTTTATAGTTTAACTAAAACAAATAAAAAAATTATAACTAAATTCTAGTATCAACAAGTGTAGGTAAACGTTGAACCATTTATTTTTATTTAGTTAGGCTGATGAGGAGGTTCAGTGCTAAAGTACGCCGCTGTACAAGTAAAGTGTGGAAAACTCTACAAACGGGCGAGTCCCTCATATTAGGTCCGCTTTTTACTGTTCTTGACAAACAGGATGGCAAACAAAATAAAAAATTGGACTTAATATTGAAGGAGACATCGCAATCAATTTTTTTTTAAATTAAGTTTTTTAGTGTATTATTGTAATGCAAATAATGAATAACATGTTGGTAAAAATCCCAAGTTAAAAAAGCTGGTAAGTGGATATCACTCTGCTACACAGTAGGTTACAAGTGGGTGATTATATAATGGATTGTATTAAACTTGAATTCAATGATATAACATCATTGTATAAGAAAAACGATTCTGAGCGGAGACGGTTTGTCAGTCTGGATATTTTATATTATTGTTATTTATTATACCATGAAAGTTGAATTAATATTATAATATTATTTTTTATTCGTTTATATGGTGATACACAAAGTGTTAGAAATTAAAATCCAATTTTTAGCGGTTTTTCTTCATTTTTCGGTGGTTTTTCCCATGGCATTAAATAACTATTGATAAAATCGAAAATGACCTCTCTAAAGTACCATTTTGATACAATTTGGTAAATGATAAGGTACTATATGTTGAAATCGAACACTCCTTATGGTAGAAATTTTGTACCTATACAGGATATAAAAAAAAAATCACCATTGTAAAACCACTACCTTAATATTATTATTCAACAAGATAATACGAGTTAATGAACAGTGACATGAGCCGACTACTGAGCAGCTGCCCATGTTTTACGCCAAATTTCAAGTACCCACGAATAATATTATGCAATCACAACAAAATAATTAAAACATTTATTCAAGGTTTTTTAATATGTAATTTCGTCCAAATTTGAACTTAAAAGGACTATAAAAATAAACTGTGCTTATGTATTTTTTAGATTTTTCGATAACAGAATTAACTACTTACGTAGAATCTTGTTTTAAATTTTCAATCCTTAGATATAAAATTTAAATATTTTATAAATTTTTAACTACAAAATAATTATTCAATTTTAAATATGATAAATTTTGTCAAAATTCAATCTTAAGTGCTTATAAAAAAAAATTGTGCCTATGTATTTTTAATATTTTTCAACTGATATTGTAACAATATATCAGGAGTCTTGTATTAAATTTTTACACTTTTTGGCAAAACAGATAAAACTTTATTGATATTTATAGAAAAAAAAATTGAAAAATGAAAATGTCCTTAAACAGCTCAAAAAGAGTCAAAATAGTTTAAAAATTATATGGTGTATAGAAAATGCTAATTTAAATATTCAGTGAAATTTTCAAGTATCTACAGTCATTCCTTTTTTAATTACAACAAAATAAGGAAATCGCTACATGAGAAATCGAGTGAATATCCAAGGTTGTAAAAATTTGAATTTAAAACGCTCATAAAAATTTAATTTGACTTTCTTATAGAATTTTTTTTTTTATAAAGGTAGATAAACTTATGAGGAATCTTGTATTACATTTTAAAACCTTAGATTTAAAAAGAAAAATTTTAATGAATTTTTAACTCAAAATAATTTTTCGTGATTTTTCCATATTTTGTCAATTTATGAACTTTAAATGCTTAGAAAAAAAAACTGTGACCAAGCATTTTTAATATTTTTTATCTGCCTTTGAAAAAATATACTAGGAGCCTTCTATTAAATTTTCAAGCTTTTTCAGCCAACAAATAAAATTTTATTGATATCTTTAGAAAAAAAAATGTAAAAAAAAATGTAAAATGAAAATGTCCCTAAACAGTTCAAAATAAATCAAAATATTTTGAAAATTTTATAGTGTATAGAAAATGCAAATATAAACAACCAGTGAAAATTTCAAGAGTATACGGTAATTTGTTTTAAAGTTACACCAAAAACCAAATTCAATTTTGTGAAAAATCGATTTTGCGTAAAAATTCCCGTTTTTCCTTAATTTTTCTTTTGTTAATCTTGTCGCATGTGAAAACTATTGGGAATTTTAAATTTTGACCTCCTAAAAGTACCAACTAGATTCACTTTCCCATCGAACAAGTTACTGAAGTTGAAAATCGAAGCATTATTTCGACTACTAATCGTGTACACAGACACACAAAAAAAAAAACACACATCACTGTAAAATCAATACATTCATCGTTTCACTCAGAATCTAAAATTGATAAAATAAACATTCAGTGAAATTTTCATGTATCTACAGTTATTCATTTTTGAATTACAACAAAATAAGAAAATCACTACATATGAGAAATCTAGTGAATATCCTATGTTGTACAAATTTTAATTTAAAACGCTTATAAAAATTTAATTAGACTTTCTTATAGACATTTTTTTTTTTAATAAAGGTAGATAATCTTATTAGGAATCTTGTGTTACATTTTGAAAATTTAGATTTAAAACGAAAAATTTTTATAAATTCTTAACTCAAAATAATTTGCTAATTTTCGTGATTTTTCCATATTTTGTCAATTTTTGAACTTTAAATTATTATAAAAAAAAACTGTGACTAAGGATTTTTAATATTTTTCAAATGTCAGTGTACAGTGTAGTAGGAGTCTTTTATTAAATTTTCAAGTATTTTTACTCAAAAATTAGATTTTTATTGGTATTCATAGAAAATAAACTAATAAAATTGGAAACTAAAAATGTCCCTAAACAGTTCAAAACGAATGTAAATATTTTGAAAATTGTATCGTGTATAGAAAATGCAAATATAAACAACCAGTTAAAATTGTATATATCAAGGGTCATTTGTTTTAAAGTTCTACCAAAAACTAAAGTTGATTTAGAGTAAAAATTCTAGTTTTTCCTTAATTTTAGATTCTGAGCGGAGCGATTGGTTTTACAATGATCTGAGTTTTTTTTAATTTTTTCGTCTGTGTACACGATTAGTAGTTGAAATAATGCTTCGATTTTCAACTTCAGTATCTTGTTCAACTTGAAAGTGACCCTAGTTGGTACTTTTGGGGGGGGGGTCAAAATTTAAAATTTCTTATAGTTTTCCAAAGCGCTAGGAAAAACAAAATAAACATTTTGTCAAAAACCGATTTTGGCTTTTGGTGTTACTCTAAAACAAATGATCGTATATACATGAAATTTTTTTTAAATGTTAATATCAGCCTTTTCTTTACATGAAACATTTTCAAAATATTTTGGCTTGTTTTTAGCTACTTACGTATATACTCAGTTTCCAAATTTTTAAGGTTTTTTTCTATTAATATCATTAAAACTTTATTTGTTGTGTAAAAAAGCTTGCGAATTTAATACAAAGCTCTTACTATATAGTTACAATAAGATTTAAAAAATATTACATTTTTTTTTTTATAAGCATTTTAAATCACGAAAATTAGCAAATTATTTTGAGATAAGAATTCATACAATTTTTTCTTTTTTAATCTAAGATTTGAAAATGTAATACAAGATCCCTAATATAAGTTTGCCTACAGTACCATCCCCCACAGTTAAAAACCACCAAATGGCTAAAGGGATTAATTAATGAAAAACATAAATTACTGTCGTTACCTAAATAGTTTTAATAAAAATATATATTTATTATTAGTGAAGTTATAAACTAATACGTGTGTCATAATATTATAATAACATCAACTTTTTATAGAAAACAAAAAATAAAATATGCACTTTATACACAACAATTAAAAAATATAAACTTTTTTACCTAAAATTGACGAATTTCGAATTTCGAATTTTTTATTTTATTTTTTTTAAACAATTCATTCTTTGGAATGGATTTCTAGCCTGGTCTGCTATAAATTGAACGTAATGAGAATTTATGAAACTCCTACAACTTCTGAGACGTTAAATTAATGTAATTCACGTAGGCGGAAATCCATTAAAATTTCATTGGGGGGGGGCTATCATTATTAACATAAATGTGAGTGGGGGGGGAGGGCTTCGAACCAACACAGCTAATAAAGGATATTTCAAAAATGTGTATTACTAGGCATGACCATGATTTCACTCTGAGACATTCCTTAGCCCAAAAGTATTCATGTGATATTTTTATGAACAAGTATGCACTTTTAGCTGCCTACAACGCGCCGTTAATTTTTTTATGTTACAGTGATCGGGAATCCAGAGTATTTTAATTTTTAAGTTATTATTTTGGAGAATATAAATAAACAGTTGAATGTACTATGTACACTGATATTTGAAAGGTTGTAAACGTTTATTTTTATTGTTGTTTACACCAAGGGAGTCTGATAGCGTTATTATGTCTTAGAGGTTATGATATTAAATAAGATCAGGCACTTTGAGGATAACTGTGAATTTCAAAGTAAACTTTGAAAAGGAACTTTGATATATATATAATAATTTTCATTTGATATTGTAGAAACTATATTATACTGAAGTCAAGTATACGTATAATAGGCTTCTTGTGGGTTTCGGTGCTCAATATATATTACGGAATACGGTCTATGATCACCGTATTCACTATTCAATACTACCAATTGTGATAACTGGTAATGCGTATTTGTTTGTCTAAATTCAAGGCATATTCAAAAACATGTTCACCCCTACCCCCTCTATAATTTACCTAATGGTCTGCCTATGCAATACATTCTAAAGAACAACGTAGGTATTTCTCTAGTACCACAACAAGTTTTATCTGTTGGGCCAAAAAGTGTAAAAATTTAATACAAGGCTCCTGATATATTGTTACAATATCAGTTGAA